AATTGCAACATGGCATTCTACGAAAATGTTTCTCTAAACTGCTTCTATCTTCTTTTATACGCTTTTAGCTCAGCCTCCACATTCCACAGATAGTCAGCTGTAGCTCTGCGCCAGATGTTGATTGCTGTGACTCATATCAGGCGCAAAGGACATACGAACTGCGAAAGTTCGTATACTCCGGCCTCAACGACGAGAAGAGGGATTAGAATTCTCCTTGCTGTGCGTCTACTCCCTATGCTCGCTCCCTCTTTCGGTTTCCATCTTGCGCAACTCTTCCCTGCACTCGTCAATTCGGTTTTCGATTTCTTTACGACGCTGTCGCAACTGTTCCACTTTATCCGGGAGTGAACAGATACTCGCATGGTGGTCGTTTGCGCTTCCTCGTCCTGATCTTGTGCAGTAGAAACATTGAGATGGTCTGAGACAGGCATCCGGGTGTTGATTCAGGCATTGATGGCAACGGCTTTCGCGGTTCAGTAGTGAAATTCGATCCGTGACTGAGGTTACCCTTGGACACGCGTCTGAGAAGTGTTTTCCTGCCTCCTTGCAGTATATGCACATGAGTGCGCCAGTGGTACCCCTATCGCCCAACCGACGTTCTGGGCATGAAGGATTTTGCATCTCTTTTTGCACTTTGTCCCATTCTTCTTGGTGTTCAATGAGGAGTTCCTCGTATTTGTGTTTCCTTTGAGTAGTCGGACTCTTCGGCACTGGTCTTTTTCGCTTCCGATCTTCCGTTTCTTCTCTTGTCTTTCGCTCTCCACTGCGACTTCTGTGAGGGCTACCCCCTCCACTATGACGTCTGGAGCGTCTGTGCCTGTCGGAGCTGTGTCCGTGCCTCTCATCTCCGCTGCTGTATCTTTGAGAGTCGTTCGCGGTTGCTCTGACCTCCCTTCCTACAGTTACATCCTTAACTTGTCTTAGCAGCCTTGCTGACTCTCGACCCATCCTTTCGGCTTCTTCTTTCATCTGTGCTCCTAGTCCGAGGATCTGCTGCTCCAGGCAACCCAGCTTCTGATGAACGTTCCTGTGCTCTGCTTGTGTTTCCTCTTTCATTGCTTGCAGGCATCTTTCTCTATTCTGTATCAACTGGTTCTGAATGTCCAGGTATAAAGTCTGAATCCAGCTTCTGGTTACTTCATGATGTCCGCGGATGTCTTGTGTCAACTGCGCTATCATCTCTCTGATTTCGTTGAGAGATCCTTCGTTTCGTCCGCTATTACGCCACTCGTGGTCCTGCCTCTGGCGTCTCATTTCATCTTTCAATCCTGCGATCGAATCTCTGATCTCCTTCATCTGCCAATCAGACGCTCCGTGTCCACTCCCTTGTCTATCGCCTCGTTGTCGGTGAAGTTCATCTATGAGTAATTTGATTCCTTCCATCATTTCTTTCACCAACTGGGCCTCTTTGGCTGAGCCTCTTAGTAATTCCCCTTTCACGTCATGAACTTCCTCCGATTCTTCATTCAGAAGGACATCATAGCCGAGACGAATGTTGTGCAGAATTGGACCAATGGTCTCCTTCTTGTAAAATCGTTTAACCTGCTTCGGCTGTGGATAGCCTGGCTCTGTTGGACCTGAATCACTGTTTCTTCCAAACCGCTCAAAAACATCAGTCTGTCGATTTCCTGTGCCTCGTCTCCTGCCACAAGGATCTCGTACCACTCATGGGCAAGCAGGAGCTGGTCCGCCCAGGAGATCAGCTCTCCTTTCTCCTCCGTATGCCGTGCGCGGAGTTCCTGGAACTCCAGCATATATTGCAGTGACTCTTTCACTGTATACGAAGTTTCCCATCTTTTTCCCTTGAGAGCGATGACGTCCAGTTTCGCCTGTTCGAGCCGTTCTTCAAACTCGTTGCACTTATCGCCACAATACTTCAATTTTTGCTGGATCTGTGCTTCTGTAAATTTCGATGACTCTTCGACAATGAAGGACTTCCATGCGAGCTCTGCTTTCACTCTTCTTTCCAACTCTACGAGTCTCGCCATCCCTGGAAAGAGAGTGATTGGAAATAGGCTGTGATTTGAAATTGAATCGCCCCTGTGCAGGCTTGTACAGAGTTTCATAGCGCTCTTTTATGTTTGTGCGGTGCTTCACGATTGATTGGGGTTGCATGCTTGTCGAAGCTGGATCTGGAAAAAAGCGATTCAATCCGCAAGCAAAGCATTAGGAGTTGCAATCGACATCACCACCGTACCCTCCGGCCTCAACACCGAAAGTGATATCTGTACTGTTGGACTTGATGATCTATCAACTAGTGGTGCCTTTATTAGTCGGTGGTGATTGGTGAGCTTGTCATCATTCGTCGTCTCCGCAGTGCGGCGTGCGCTCACTATGAGGACCGTTTTTTTGGTTTCGGCGGTTGAAGGCAGTGAACGGCTGTGTTTTGATTTTGGCATTTATCTCGCAATTTGTTTTTACTGCGCGTTCTCTTCGTTGGTGGCACTTCTCATGGTCTATGCAATTTGTATCGCCTTGATTTGTGGTTTCTATGGATCCTATATCTAGTAACCATTCTTTGGTCAAAACAATAGTTGCATCTCTAGGAAGCGATTACACAGCAAAGCTACCCTTTTAGAACTGTTACACCGGCATAAAAAATATATGTAGATTGGGTACAAAAGTGCGACTTGCGCCTTCACAAATTCTTTTCCTCGGATTTCGTTTTCTTACCGAGACATAAATAAAGGCACCGGAAGGGTATCATGCATAAGATGCGAAGCAGACGGAAGGTCAATCTGAACAGTGCGAGAAATATGTGGCAGATCGTGTTGGTGACCGTGCAGAGAAAAGCGTTAGTCACAGCAAAATAGGTTATAAGCAAGGCCACTATCACTAGCAATGCTGTGATGGCGAGAGTCATCCACCGTGTCAGGAATGTCTCCGCTAGATGTGTGAAGTCCGGCAAATTGATCTCGGAGAGAATTTCGCTTTCTCCTTTCAGAACGCGCCGTACGGCTCCCTCTAGGCTTCCTGTGTAGTGGAGTAATCCTGTGATCTTGAACTCGCTTATAGTTATTCCGCACTGGATTGTACATTTTCGATAAAATAGTGCTGTCTCGCTTACAAAGCTCAGGTTTGTTTGTAGGCCCTGGTCTGTGCATTGTATTGTAAATGCGTCGTCACCGCATCGGATTTCTGCCCAAGTCTTGGGTGTAGACGACTTGCACGTAATCAGGGCTTTTGCCCCCTTAGCACATTTGTAGCATCCTTGGCAGTGTGCATCTTCACTCGTACAGACTGCTTGCGATCGCATCGCTGTTGTGTTGAATCTGCCTTTGATGCGTAGAACAAATTTCGCTGTGGGCAATTGAGGTATTTTCGATACCACAGTGCCATTTATTGGGTGGAACTCAAGATTCGGTTGTAGTATGGGTAGTCTATACCGCGGTTCCCGAATCAGGGCGGTGAGGTTCACTTCTTTGCAGTCGCACTTCATTTTCACCTCCGCGGGCGTGCATTTACAGTCTTCTCTCACTTCACAGGTGAGGTTTGCTGCGTCCTGAGATGAAGCGCATGCTAGCGGAGGTTCCAGTTGAGTTGGTGTCTGTGCGATTATGGTTCCATCGGTGAGGAAGTTTGTATGCAACGTAGGAGTGGGTGGTATGCTGATCGATGAGAGAGTGACTATGAATGGTGGTAGGCTCCTTGGTTGATTTGGGACTACGTAGAAATCATACTCTCGTGGAGATTGATCCGCATCGCTGACTTGCAGTTGCATGTTCACTATCGGTTTCCATCGGTTGCACTTGAAAAACTCATAGACTTTCTCATCATTTGGTATGAGATAAATTCTATAAAATAGACATCCCGAGCTGGGATAGAAGCAGTCGCACCCGGGGCCTCCACAGCTTTCCACGCAGCCTGTAATACCTAGAAAGTGGTTTGCCCTGTGCAGCTCGGATATCTGTGAAGTCCGCGTCACGTTTCCGCACTTCTCTCCTGTGCATGAGCCAGCATGAGGGCACCTCTTGCTATCCAACAGTGCACACCTGGTGCTTCTTGAGAATAATGTTGTTTGTTTCTCGCAAATCAGGTTGAGACCCTTCCACAGTAGTTTTGCTTCCAAAACACTCGCATGATTGCTTCGTAAGCGAAGGCAAGCCTCTTGCTTGAACGGATTGATCTTCAAAATTTCTGCGGTATCTATCGTGCAGTACTCACTGTGGTTTGTTATATAGCAAGACCGGCTGTGAGCGAATATGTTGACATCCTGGCACCCTTGAGCTGTTGCTATGTCAACTATGGCGAGGAGAATGACTTGTTCGGATAGTGAATATCTTCTACGGCGTCGACGGTAACTCGTTGGAAATGGGGATGTGATGAAATTCCACATCAGCTTGATCGACCACTTTCCGCACGATCCCGCGATTTTCAGGAAGTAAAGTAGTGGTGTTCCCACTACTACCGGTACGTGGAAGATACAATAACATACGGCAACTCCTGCATAAATCATGAGTCCTGTGGCTGCAATGGCTATCCGAGGCCAGCATTCCGGATTTGCAATCATCGCAGAACAGAAGACGCAGTCGATTTGTTTGCAGAAGGGAGCTGCCCTGCAGGTCGTCTCCATTATGGTGACATCTGTGCCATCGAATGTTTTCCATTCTACGAGGTGGTCGTGTAATGTTATCTGTGGCGGAAACTTCACTATCTCCTGATGTCGAGGTGTCCGAAACTCTATGCAATACTCCTCTGCGCATATCTCATAGGGAAGTCCGTTGGATTGTGAGAGAACCACTCCTCATTCTTTGCAATGTAGTTGATAATTACTTTTATTGGGTACCGCTCTCGTCATCTGCACGCAAAGCGAGAGTAGCGCCACTGCGAAGAGTGAAGTGGTTGAGATGAGTCCTTTATCGCTTCGTTCTCTTTGTTCATTTGCCTCTTGTTCCTTGTAATTGATGCGTGCCCTCGGACGTAAATTATATCGAGCTTCTGTGTTTTCTTGCTGCTGTCTTGCGGGTGAGTCATCATCGCTATTTATTTCCAGCGGCACTATTCGATTTATTGGACGACGTAATCTTCTTTTATTGGGAGTTTCAACTATGACTTCTCTTATCGTCTTCGAAGGTGAGTCTTCAATTTGTACTATCCTTGCTGTTTTCCATGTATTTCTCGGTTGTATCGCGTCCCAAAGTATAACGATGTCGCCTATTTTTGGTGTCCTTTTCGATCCACGTTTTTCATTCATCCTTATTTTGTGTTGCTCTCGAAGACTGGTGAGATATTGTTCTCTCCACGTTTGCCAGAATTGCTCTGTCAAGTCGATTGACGTCTTCAATGCCGCTTCTGTTTGACGTTGCGTTGCTAACTGTTGTGCTTCTTCCGGTGTGTGATAAATCTTGTCTTGTCCTTCCTCGCCCATGTATCTTAGGGGGTAATCCAAGATTATCTCGTTCTGAAGAAAATCGATAGGCCGTAGCAAGGGTTGATCATCCCATTTTTCCTCCTGGTAGGTGAGTGGTCGGGAGTTTAACACGGCTTCTATTTCTGTGAGTGTTGTCCTCAAACCATCGAACGTTATGGGACGCACTCCCAGCGTTTTGTAGAGCGAGTTTTTAATGGAACGTATCAGCCTCTCGTAGAAACCACCCTGCCACGGTGCGTAAGGGGTGATGTGATTCCATTTGATTTCTCGCCGTGCAATTTCGCTTTCAAATTCCGTGCTGTGTACCATATTTTCCATGGTGTCTATGAGGATTTGCTCTCCCAATAAGAACGTCGGTGCATTATCGCAAGTAATCGTTTGCGGAACTCCCCTTCTTGCGAAAATCTTAATGCGTTCAAGAATGCTTCTGTCGTCATGTTTCCTACCAGTTCGAGGTGTATAAGTCGTGTAATTTGGCAGGTGAAGATGCATCCGTAAGCTTTGTTAGATCCTTCATGGTTATCCGTTACTGTTAGTGGACCAAAGTAATCCAATCCAGTGTGCGCGAATGGATTTGCTTTCTGCACTCTCGTAGTCGGCAAAGCTTCCATGTCAGGATAATAGAAGGGAAGGTTGTTCATCTTTTGGCACGGTACGCACCCTTTGATGATTTTCTTCACTTGCTGCCTTATTTTCGCTATCCAGTAGTTTTCCCGAACTGAGGAGATCGTGTGAGTGACTCCGCGGTGATAGTTGTTGTGTACTTCTGCGATGATGAGCTGTGCTAACGCGGTTTTTGATGCGATGTATATCGGTGTTTTCGTCGTAGTCGATAGATCTGACTTGCTTAAGCGCCCGTAACAGCGTAGCACTCCTTGCTCGTCCTTTCGGATGTTCAACTCCTTTTGTGATTTTATTTGATGTTCGCTCACGTAGTGTTTTTGGTGATCTCGAATTATGCACATTCTGCTTTTATGCATCTCTGCTCCCGTGATGTTCTGCGCCTTTGAGATTGCTTTCAGTGCCGGAATGGTCCTTTGAATGGCTTCCTTTCTTTCTTCGGTAAAATGGTTTAGCGATTTCCCTATAAAGCGTAATACGTAGACGCATACTCTCTGGGCTTTCTCGAGAGAACTGTATCTTTGTAGATCTATAATCTCGTCTTTTGATGCTTCTTTTGTTGTCGCTATTACCTCCACTAGAGCTGATGTCGTTTTTTCTTCTTCTGTGATCGTGCTCAGCTTCGTATAGTCTGGCCTGTTTATAAAGTGTGGTCCTTTCCACCATTGATGATTCTGCAGTGCTTCCGCTGTCAGTCCTCTTGATCCGCAATCGGCCGGATTTTCTGACGTTGTGACGTGTCCAAAGAAACACGTTACGTTTTGGTTCTTCAGATCCTTGTTTATCCGTCTCATTTCTGCCAGTCTGATTAGTCACTAAGACACCTGCGCTCTGTCGGGTTGGAGGTGCTTTTATCCATGCCAGTACTATGTCGGAATCTGTGTAGCATATAACCTCGTTAATGCGATAGATCGATTCCAGTTCTTTACAGATAAACCAAGCTAGCCGCAAGCCTAACGTTGCTGCGTTCATTTCCAGCTTCGGTATCGTCATCGCTGTCTTTATTGATGGGAGTTTTGATTTTCCCATTATCAGGTTGGATTCTTCCTCCGTCGTGAGGTACGCGCATGCTGCCATTGCCCATTGGCTAGCATCTGTAAAAACGACCAATCGCGCAGTGTTGGGTTTCCTGATGATTTGCCTGTTTATTTCCTTGTAGAATGTAGATATCTCGCTCGATATCTGCCGCCACTGATCCTGTAATGGTGCGGTAAGCGGCGTATCCCAATCCAGCTCTTCCTTCCACAGCGACTGAAGGAATATTTTGGCTGGAAGCAAAAGAGGCACTATGAATCCCATTGGGTCGTATATCGATGCTAGTTGCTGTGTAACGGTGCGTTTGGTAATCTTCTCCTTTGAAGCAACCATAGATCCTCTGATGATAAATTTGTCCGCCTCTGAATTCCAGGGAATTCCAAGAACCTTTGGACAAATGGATTTCATCCTATCCGCTTCGGCGATTGTTGTGTTGAATTGCTGGTCGTTGGAGCGGTATTCTCGAAGATTCATATTCAGCTCGCGAAATAGCGTTTTTGTGTGAGTGTATTTCGCGAGTGCTTCTTCGGATGACTGTGCTCCAAAAAAGAGGTTATCTACATACAGGTTTTTCCTGATTTCCGGTGCCATATCGTCGTTACTTGCTGTGTTTTCTAGATGATAACTATCGTCGCACTTAACAAGAACGGCGAAGCATTGAGACCGAAAGTGACTCGGGTAAAGCTGTAGACCACCAAGTTGTCTGGCGTGGGTGGGAGCGTAATATCCCTTATCCATATGCAGCGCGTTGCGTCGCGGTCTCTTTCTTGTAACCGCACTTGTAGAAAAGCCTTCTCGATGTCCGACATTACTGCAATCCGGTGGAGTCGGAACCGAAGTATCACTCCCACCAAGTCTGGTAAAATGAGGGGGCCTTGATGCAGGACGTCGTTCAAGCATGGGCAATCCTTGTAGTGAGCCGACGCATCAAATACAATCCTCATTCTTATTGTTTCTTTTGATGGCGTGATAACAGCCTGGTGCAGTAGATAGTGTATTATGCTTCCTTCCGTTGGCTCATTTGGCGATACCTCCTCTATGACTCCCTTTTCCAACTGGTCCTTGAATGTTTTGTCGTATGCATTCAAGGTCTCCGTGTCATTCTGGTATATCTCCAAGACCTTTTCCAGTCTCTTGAGAGCCAGTGCTTTATTATCCGGAAGATCTGGATGGTCTTCTTTCCATGGCAAACGTACATAGTAGCCATCTTCTCGCTTTTCGATCGACTCCTTGAAGTCCTGGAGTACCTTCTCGTTTATTTTCTGCAGCTCGGTTTGCTGTGTACCAGTAAATTCTTCTGTGCCGGTTGATTCCAAAGACCAGTAACGGTCCCATATCTCCTTTTCGGTTTCGGAACCTTGTAAAGTGCATATTATTGCCGATCTTTGGCTACATTGGCTTTGCCTGCCGCTAATAGTGTACCCCAATTTAGTGGGTATTAGCTACAAGCCTGATGGTAGACTCAGCTTTTTGGTAGACTCAATAAAGTTCCAGAGGTAATCACAGCCGAGTAAGCTGTGGTTTCACTGCTCCCTCTTCTATTGGCATAGATAGGCGGTATTTTCCTTTTCGGATAAACTGCAAATCTTCCTTATTGAGGCTTGCTCGTTGTACGGCACTTGTGATGTAATCATTTTTGTAAAGTTGTACACTGTGCTTGGTTCCATTGCGATCCATCAGCGTTAAGCGCGTAATCGCACAGGTTTTGATCTTCGTAGCTGGCGTGCCGAATGTGTTCAATTCTAGTGAAGTTGTACCCACTACTGGCAAGTTGAGTTTAACTGCGAGTTGTTCCTCCATAAACGAGAGTTCTGAACCGGTATCCAACAAAACGACTACTTCGCGGGCTTCTCCTTCGGCATTAATGATCTTAACTGCTCCGGTGAGTAAGATCACTTTGCCTTGTTTCCACTCGTTTTTCTTCTTCAGTTGCAGTACCAGTGGGGCCTCTGGCGTAACACTTTCCAATGGTTTTTGTTGATCCATTGAAGTGTCGTGTGCTTCTCGCTCCGTTATACTTTTTGTAACTGTATGTTGTTTCGAGTGGAGTCGAGCGGTGCCTTTCGTTTTTTGGAAAACTTTCTTTTCTGTGGGTTCTTGATGCTCTGCCAACTTGCGATGGTACTCCGGCTCTCTTAGCCTGCTCTCCGAGCATATTGCTGTGTGGTGCTTTTTGTGGCACTTTCTGCAGTTGCCGCTTGGGCACGACGCCACTCTATGATTCGCAGACCCACAATTGAGGCACCTGTTGAATTCAAGAAGGAACCTTTTCTTTTGTGCTGCTGTGGGAATGTCTGGGCAGAATGTCCATCTGTGTCCACTTCGTCCACAGCACTCGCACCCTATGCTTTGTGTTCCTCCACTTCTCGGCTCTGTGCTTCTTCTATATTGTCGAGCTTCTGCCGAGAGTCTATCGTTCAGTTCTTCTTCTTGGGAAAGTAGCTCGTCAATGGCGTCTAGCCATTGGTTCAGTGTCCATTCCTGACGATCTTCGTTTTTCAGCTGTTTTTCCAACGCCGCTCTTCGTATGCGTACATGGAATTTATCCAAAAAAGTCTCGATTGTCAGTTCATTATCCAATTGCTGCTCGTGTTCTTGCAGCTGTGTTGCTATTGTGCTTAGCTGGTCCCATAATTGCCTTTGCTCCAATGTGCTAGGACCTCTTGCTGAACAGTTCTTCAAGTTTTTGTTCAGCTGCCTCACTATCCCGCTTTTATTTCCATATCGCTTAGTCAGGTGTTCCACGGCTTTCTCATAGTTGCTGGCCGATACGAAGAATCGCGAAACCGATTGTTTCGCCTCCCCACCTAGCGAGCTAAGCAGATAGTTGAACTTCTGGAGATCTGTGAGGTTTTGGTCGTGCACTTTGGCTTTGAATAAAGCCCAAAAATTATCCCATTCCCATTTCTTTCCTGTAAATATAGGAATGGGGATAACTGGGAGCTTGCTGAGAGCTGCAGAACATTGGTGGTTTGTTTCACTTGTTCTGTAAGTGCTACTTATTCGGTTCTCCAATGAGGACCTGTGCGCGTGCAGTTTCATTATGGTTGCATGAGTTCTTTTGATGTACTTGTCGAGACGATCTTCTTCTTCATCTGTCGTTTCCGTTGCTTCATCGAAGGCCTTGGTTAAGTTTAGCAGAGACTTTTCCAAGAGGTCGATGTTCCTCTGGCACGTATCTGCGTCTCTTTCCCAAACCCAACTTTCCCCCTCTGATTGGGGTACCTGGCTAGATTCCTGTAGCCATTGCAAGGCTGCTTCATTTCTTTTGGTTACCAGTCCTTTAAGCGACCTAATTGTGCTAGCCATGCTTGGGTTAGTTTGTCTGAAGCTGTGCGTTAACCTGTGAGCTCATGCAGTGTTAGCAATTGAAGCGTTATTTGAGTGCAACAAATCGTACCTGTGTTTGACCGGATGCACCAATTGTACGGAGGTTCGGTGTCTTATATCGGACTGTACGTTGTTGTTTGTTGCCACGCGGGACTTTGATTGTTTGTTGCACTGCGCGCACAGTACCTCAAACTTGGGTAATTAAACCTTTATTAGAAAATTTATCAACACATAAACGCGACTCTACAAGCAACCGATAATAAACAGTAATGAGCATAAATAATGAGCAACTATAAGCATTCTGGAATCCTACAAATAAACAGACCTGTAACTAAGCATAAAATATGCCTGTGACTCTAACTATATAGAAGCTATCTGCGAATCTATGGAGAACGCATAACATGCCACTAAGATATGTGATTGCTATGCATCTGAGCGAAAGGAGCAAAATGTCAACGGTGAGCTAAAAGCAATTATAAGAATGAGAAATGATGAAGAAGTGGAAGATTAGCTACACTGAGAAATAAAATTGAAAGGGAGGAATTGCAACATGGCATTCTACGAAAATGTTTCTCTAAACTGCTTCTATCTTTTTTTATACGCTTTTAGCTCAGCCTCCACATTCCACAGATAGTCAGCTGTAGCTCTGCGCCAGATGTTGATTGCTGTGACTCATATCAGGCGCAAAGAACTTACGAACTGCGAAAGTTCGTATAGCTGTTGAGAGATGAAAAATTAGTCTGTGCTGAAAGGTATTAATTTTCGGAATCTCCATTAGATCAGTGGGGCCCTAAGATTTTTTTGGCGGAGCGGGGGGGGGGGGGGAGGAGGAGGAGCATTTCTCTCCTCAGGGAACGGCCATAGGTTGTCGATGTTGTCGGTGTTGTCGGTGTTGTCGGTGTTGTCGGGGTCGGAGACAGTTTAGGAAGCGCGCGAAACGTGGAGGCTATCATGAGGTCCTACAACGACCGGCAACCTCGGCAACCCCGAACACCGACAACACCGACAACACCGACAACATCGACAACACCGACAACCTATGGCCGTTCCCTCAGAAGCCTCTGGCGGTAGCAACGATTTTCGGCATAGGTCTCAATTTTTGAAAGCTCAGTAACTTTGAAATCTATCTGCAATTTCTGAACTTTTATTTTTCAACATAACGAACAAAGTCTTAATTCAACACCGTGAAAAAAACCCTTTTACTCTTTAAACAGGAAATCGTGATTTTTACTGCAGATTTTGAAAAGTCACTGCAGTCAAATTACGTAGGGACTTTCGCTCCAACCCTATTGGAAGAGCGCAGTGAATAAGAGAGCTCTATACAGACAGAACACGTGTACAAAGATTTACAGCCTCTCGCGCTATTGTTGGATCAGGGATGTCATCGCGCCTTCTGGATCAATTCCCTGCTTACACTGTTGCTATACGTTCCTGGAGTTATACATGCTTTCAAAGTGATTCTTGCTGGAGGCCGTCATCATTACGATCATCACGACCACCTCGATCATTATGGTCACCATCAACATCATCACCATCGTGAAGAAGTTTTCGTAGTTCAACCTCAAACTCATTACATTGCTCAACCTGTAGTAATTCAACATGGAGCCCACGCACAACCCGTCGTTGGGCAAGGAGTGGTATCAAATCAGTCACAGTCAATTTATCCTGATGTCAACTAATTAGCTCTTTAGTCTATAGTTACGAGCTCTTGTGTGTTTTCCACCATGTGTAAACAGCACTGACTTAACAATACATATCTCTCCAAGATGTTTGAAGGCAGCGTCCAGACAGATCTGGACCTGGAAATTTTACATGGAAAGTACTTTGGGGCCCTAATTAAGGCACTGCCCAAGCGGCAGCGCAGGTAGTGCTCTAACGCCTGAGATATTCCCCTCGAGACTGGACCCCGCGATCGTAGTCGCATGACTTCATAGCAATTTCTCGCCAGGACCCACGCTTTGCGTCATGAATCCATGCGAAATACGATCGCGGGGTCCAGTTTCGAGATATATCTCAGCCGTCAGTGCACTACCTGAGCTGCCTGTTGGGCAGCGGCTTAGTTAGAGCCCCAAAATTACTATCCAAGTGAGATCCCCATGTGTCCAGACTTGCCCGGAAGCTGCCTTTGAACGTTCTGTCTCTGTTTGTCTTCGTTGCAGACTACTGAATGATCATATTCTTGCTATTGAAATTCCTTCAGTGTGCCGCTAGAATTTTTCTCTTTTTCAAGCATCACCTTAATTGTTCCAAAGATATGTAGTCTTACCAGAGCATCAAAATTTGCCATTGTAGATATCACATTGGTTTCAGTATGATTTGCAGACTTGCAATTGCTGTTCATCCAGTCAGATGTGGCAAAGTTAAGTACGAAAACAACTCTTTGATCTATTGTCATGCTTTACCTTTCTTGTCAAGTTCATTTCTAGGTGGTCCTACACGGGCCTAATTGTAACGCCAGGTTAATGAATATTTGTACCGTAAATATATAACTTTGTCTAAGAAAACACTATAAATTCATATGCTCTTCACTATGTATAACCAGGATGAAGTAATTTATTTATTAGAAAAAGTATAGCATTTTATTTACACTCTGTGCTGTTATGAAACAAAACCAAATTCGAGAAAATTCTAAAAATTAACTAGAGACATCCGGTCACCATAAACTTTTCTCTATTAGAAAGGTTAGCAGTGGAAACAAGATCAGAAATATACAGGGTGTCCGTAAAGTATGCATACACTGTTTGATCGTCAATATCTCTTTTCCCAAGAAGTCTTTTGCCTTGCTTCAGGTACCATTTTGTAGAGCTGGCTTCAACTTAGATTTGCGGTATAGAACGAATCACCCATCTCTCTTCATTACTGTAGGATTACGGTAGAAAGTTGAAAGAGGGTTTTGGGCCATGAAAGGCCATATTTTGTCTCAGAAAGGAGACAAAACAGCCTGAAAACTTTTGCACTAGGCTAATTAGAGTTGTTGATTCTAACTGTAAAGTTCCCAACTTTTTATGATGCTTCATTGAAGGGTTATGCCAGGTAAGAGGTAGCAGCCATTTTCTGAATGTTCCTAAAAAGTGCCATTGCACCGTTTAGAAAGCTTCGTAATTTTGTGAATAGCTGAGTATTGAACTCAGCGTCCACAAAAACCCTATTACACAAGTTTTCACATTTTTTTGAAAAACTTTGAAAAACGGCAGCTTTTTCCACATTGACACCATATGTTTCAGGTTTCACCGTAATCCCATAGTAATGAAGAGAGATGGGTGATTGTTCTATACTGCAAATCTAAGTTGAAGCCAGCTCTACAAAATGGTACCTGAAACAAGGCAAAAGACTTCTTGGGAAAAGAGATATTAAAAAAGAGATATTAACGATCAAACAGTGTATACATACTTTACGGACACCCTGTATTTAGGTTTTGTTAGACGTTCCAGAGATTTTAGCGAAAATCAACCAAATTATTCAATGTTTTATATTAGCTGTATTAGAGTCAAGCGTGCGGTGTGGCCCACCCGTCTTGACGACCGGCCGTACTGAGAGGTCAGAAAGGGCGGAGGCGGCTTCCGTAGCAGTGGGTGGAGAAATAATAGCAGCATTCATTTACTTTTTTCAGGCGGTGCAATGCATAGCCTCAAAGAGAATCTATACAACCATTCTATTGAACAGGTATAGTGGACGTCATCCATCTAGTCACCTCGGTGCGATGTGTGTTACTGCACAAAAATTTGAAATCCTGGATGAGGCGCTGGGGTCCCGCCGTACCGCGCCTACCCCAAGTGCACAGTACGGCTAAAATTTGACGCCATACTGCTTATTTTCCATATTTTAATGTTTTTTTTGCTCTTAGCTTTACGCATGGTCTTCTCGATTATATGTCGCCTTTATACGCCATGCATGCCGTTCCAGATCGAATCTCAAAATTCATCACTTTTACTTTCAGGAGAAGGCAGAAGATCGGCAAACTTGCAAACTTTCAAGGTAGGTCTGCTTTTAAGAAAAAAAGAGTAGGGTATCCGTTAGGCAGTAAGAGTTTCAACTTTCTTCAATCTAGAAAAGCTTCTCAAAATAAATTCAGCAAAAAAACCACGGCTTTTGATATCAGTGAGAAGGAAGTTGAAACTAATACTGCTCAAAAGATACTCTGCTCCTTCTGCATACGACAATACTGACGAAAGCGGATTTACTTCAGAATCTTGCAAGTTTGCCCATCTTCTGTCTACTCCTGAAAGTAAAAGTGATAAATCTGATATATTCGATCTGAAACATCATGCATGACATTGAAACGACAAATAACCGAGAACTAGCCGGTGTGTGAAGCTAAGAACAGAGTATAGCATGAAGATATAAAAAACAGACAGTTTTGCGTTAAATTTTAACCGTACTGTCACTTGGTGTAAGCACGGTACGGCGGGACCCCAGCGCCTCATCCAGAATTTCAGATGTGTGCAGTAACACACATCGCAACGAGGTGACGAGACGGATGACATCTACTATACATGCGTAAACATACACGCACTTGTGCATAAACTCTAATCTTATCGTGTAGACATAGACTTCGCTTTGATAGTACAAAGCATACCTCATAGTCTAGAGACAGGACCTCAAAAGTGAAGGTTATTCATACAAAACTAGAGAAAAAAAAGAAAAAAGTTAGTGAAAGCAAAGAAATTCCTTGAAAATTGGATAAAAACGCTGCAGTAAGTTTGGAATTTTTTATTTGGCGGCATCGCAAGTTTTTGCTCCAGAACCACGCAGTCCACAACATGGGGGAAAACGAGAAAAAGCTAGTTTTTTTTGTGTTTATTCCGAAAACAACCATGTTTCGAAAGTAAGATTATCAAGAGAAGATAAACAAGAAAAGAATTAGTTTTGAAAACTAGAGTTTTGTTCTTACCTTGTCGAAATGCGCGTCAAAGCCAAGCTAGTTTCTGATGTCCTTTAAATTTTTACCCCGCATTGTGGTTCTCGTTTTTGGGACGTTGTCTAAATTGTTGCCCTCATTAATCTGAGCAATAATCGTCCAAGCTGAAAAAAAATCGCTGCGAAATCACTGAAATAAAACATTCTAAAGAAAAACGCATTTTTGCACTTTTCCAACAAATTTTAATTAAATTCCGCCTTAATTGAAGAGATAAGCATTGGACCCCTATCTGCATTATTAACAAAAAGATCTAGAGAATGCGCGAAAGACCGCGTGAAAAAAGTTAAGCTAGGGTAAGAACAAGAGGCGACAAGAAGATTTTTGCCAGATTTCTCGTTTAAACCAAAAAACGTGGTTTGAGATATTGTCAGCAAGAAAGCAGGGATCTTGTGCATTAATATGATATACAATTTGCTAGAAATGGGTTCAGAACGACGAAGGAAAGGGTGCCAGAGCCACGCCTAAACCCGTTTGGGGTAGCGAGATAGCGTGTAACGCGCGGAGACGCAGACGAGCAGAGGAGAAAGACCAGAGCCGACAGGGCATTTGGTTCTGGTCGTAGATCTCCACGAGGTCTTAACAAAACCCCGCAATATTTTATATCATTCTGAACGCCTGACACGACGAGGAGCACTGACACGTTGTCGGTGCTCTCAAGCGTTAAAAACACTCATTAACAAGATAGACCAGCATCGGGCTCGAGTCTTTGCGCAAAAATTAAGGGCACTTTCGCGTTTCCATTCGATTCCAGCAGCTTCCCTAAACTTCTGAAACTCAATCTAGTTAAATAAGAGGTTAAGTGAGAAATATTGTCCTAAATTCTGAAGAAACGTCTACAGAAACATTTTATTTGAAAAAAAGGTTATAAAAACGCAAGTTGTCGGCTTTGCTGAGTTAATCAAAGGATATTATTCCCTATATTTGCTTCATTCACATCCATTTCGATATAGTCAGGATTATGACATCCGGGACAAAACCCCGGATGGCTTTTGTTTTTTGTAGGTGAAGACTGTATTCTATCATGGCGCCCAAGGTGAAGGTATACATAGCTCTATGATCGAGATTATAGTACAGACTAGTTGGCAAACCCGGCTCCGCCCGGGCCTGTCTATAATATATTTGTAATCAGCATGCTCGATTACCCCCCTGTGCCAACTCCCAGCCCTGTAGCTCAAATTTTGCAAAAAATCGATAAAATCGATATCGATCGATAACGAAAAGTAGCCTATGACACCCGCCGGGGCCCAAAGTGTATGTGTGCCAAGTTTGGTCCCGATCCGTTCAGAAATAAAAATTTCTATTCCGCACATACGTACACACATACAGACATACAGACAGACAAACATTCAGCTTTATATATAAGATACTATGGTCAGTACAAAAATAAGCCCATCCATTTGTAGAAACTAGTTTTTATATTGAAATGGCTTACGGGCCATTTCAGATCAGACACACAAACACGGATGATATTTACAAATTGACTTGATTGTTCTATGTACCTTGCTTTCTGTGAAGTTTGGAGGGATTGCAGTTCTCGAAATTGAGGATTTCATGCGTACTTGCGACAAACTGCCGATTTTTTTCCGGAAAGACAGCCTATCGTTTTTTCTTTTTGAGAACAACATATTGTGGGCACTGTTTACAACAATTTTCAGAATAATTGAGTGAACGAGGTAGTTTTCACAAAAACTTCCTGCTTGAGCCCGAGAAGCAGAAGTGTATTGATTTTTTGCATAAATTTCGATTAAAAATGAGTGCACTGCCTTCCAGCATTTTAGAGGTAAACATGATTGCCCAGTAGTGAAACTTCGACATTGTGACAACTCTATGACAGATTTGTTTGATTCAGAAACTTGAGCGAATTCTAGCAAAATTCGTACCATGATAGAAAGTGTTTAGAATAATTTAATAAATATGCAACTTAATGTCTGATGATAGAGATTAAGCGCGATTGAACAATGCTTTCTGTAGCAATTTCCGCGAGCTACTTTTAGCGTTCAACGGCACATCCTTGAATCTACAGTGGGTGGTCAACGCGGCCACACATGGCTCAGTCATCCACAAGTACCTGAAATGATGTGAATGAGTAAGTGAAACATAAGTGAGGCTTTAGAAAGTATCTTTCTTGATAACCTACCACTCGTTTTCTTTCTCATCTCGGTATTTTCCGTATGTGTAGTACTTCTGACATTTATCATTATTGAATGGAACCTTCGTTATGACCTGGACTGATGCACTTCAACCCTTTCAAGAAGCAAGGAGAGTTTTCTTTACTTACGGACAGATCAAAATTTGGTGCGCAACCGATAGGGCATGCGATGCGCGTCGTCGAATTTCGCGCACGTTCATTCCAATCAGTTTGAGGCATGGGTTCACGGCGGCATCTACGAAAAGGTGTAAATGAAGATCATTACACTGTTAAGATTTCTACAATTCTACTCACTTTGAAAGCTTACCTGTACTGCTTGGGATCTTTTGGCAACACTGCCTTTGGAGCTAGGAGAATGCAATCGTCCTTAGTTCCACTTGAAATGCAGTCAACAGTGCGCTGCTCTAAATTTATCAGGTAGAAAATCACAATTGGAATTCTCGGAAATTGGAGCAGGGAGTTTATCAGTCTCGTATTTACATTCGGAGGTAATAGACTGATACAAAGAGCTTTCAAGTGTCACGGCAGACGCTGCACGCTTCTGTCTCGCCGCGTTCGCTTTCTGCGGATACGGTATCTTGCCTTGAGGCTTGGGAAATACAGTATCTTTAGGCATCAATGGATAACGAGTTTGGGAAAATGCTCCGACACACGTTTACGAACATGCCGAAGTGGCCCAAAGGATGCTGCTCGCGAGGACCCGAGTCACGCGGCCGTGGCACCCAGATTGAAAGCCCCTGTAAGTCTTGTACCAGAGAAATAAAAAATGAACAATCGCTCTAAAAAGCAAACTGTTTGAATCAAACAAAGTGCACTCTGTTATGTATAGTAAATGTAGTCATTATAATTTATACAAGAGAATATCTGAAGCAAAATAGAATGTACAAAAAATCCAAAATTGAACCAAGAGAAATAATTGAATTTTTAGAGAATTGCTATCAATTTTTCTTGGTAAGACAGTGTAGAGTATGGAAGCCAAGGTCAAAAATAAATTTACGTCAACGACTGATACTAAGTTATAGTATTTTTATCGCTTTTATTTATAGCTTGTATTACTGTGATGTCAAGATGGTAACCTTAAGCATGAGAGAGCGTAATCTCTTTCGTAAAAACATTCAAACAAAAAATTTGAAAGTAAAGATTGTGACAATTTTACAAAAATATCGGTAAGACTTACAAACTAACATCTAACAAACTAATGCAGGCATGCTCACCCCAACGATTCCAAGTGAAGTCCTCTTGTTGTGCATGTGCAACGAGAAAGATTGAGAGAAGTAGACGCATCAGATTAGATCCCTGTAACACTTCGGATTACCATAGGTTGCAGAAATCAGTGATGTGGCATGACATACGTGGCTTCAAACTGTTTTTTTTGATTGGTAAAAGAATTGGTATTTTTACATCTTAAATGGCTTTTCAAGTGCATATGCATGGCTTTTTGGTTTTTACATCTTAAATGGCTTTTCAAGTGCATATCCTAACGAATTTATACACTGTTTGATTATTAATTATTCTCCCTTGTCTCTGGCAGACCTCTAGGTTCACATAGCAGAACTTGCTTTTAGCAGTATCAAATGAATTCACAACCCATAAATGTAAACAAGGTTCAAGCTCTTCTACGCTAACAAGAGACATTTTTGCTCACAAAAAGTTTCGAAAAATGTGAAAGCTCTCTCACTTTAATCTCATGAATTTCGAGGTTACTGATATTCGCATGCGTAAAAAGCCTTTTACATGAGTCTCTAGGCTTATTATAGGAGTTTTTTCAGAAGGGGTTTCTCACAAATGTAATTGGTACGGATAAGATACACGTAATCTTACAGTAATGAAAGCTCTCAGTGATTCGCTTCAAAAGACTCTGGATCTTACAAGGTATTTCCTTTCCCAATGGACTTTTCCAGTGAGATGCAAATCATTTGAAAGGTTTTCAAAAGGTAATTTCAAGAAAGTCTTCTCTATCTGCTTATCTGGTTACTGAACAAAGTTACAAGCATTTTTCTGCTTCCAAATTGCATAGTCAGGAATCGTCTAAATGACCTGTATTCGTACTGAACGCGAATTTGCTCCAGAGTTACATGCCTGAATGTCTGAGATATATCAAATCGATCGACATAAAAAATCAATGGTGATAGTTTTGAAGCTACTCTGCTACCTTAGTTATGCAGCAGTAACAAATGCCTCTCACTTTGAATAAATCGATAAGCAAATAAGGAAAGTATGGTCGTAATCAGCATTTTAAAGCTATTTTGTACATCTTGCTGGGCTGCGCCACTTTGAGTCAAAAACCTTCCTTGTTAAGTTGAGCCAACTCTACATAATGATCCGATGTTGAATGAAACGCTTTGAGAAAAGTCAACAGTCAAACTATACGTACTCCTAGGACAAATATGCTGTGCTGCTAGCTAGGGCTTAGAAAACCAAAATGTTTCAGATATACAAACGGAACAAAGCTATGTACATGACATTAGCTGAATCAAAAGCTTTTCGGATGATTTATCACGTGTTTTTCAGCGAATGCGAAGATAATACAAGGAAGAGATCTGTCGAAGGCAGCATAGCAGTTTAGCTAATGAGCCTTGGAATAAAGCAAGGGAAGTACTTCAAGATTGCTATTTTTTAATTATCCCAGCAGACAAGGGCTCAGCTGTGCGCTTGTCCCGTTTGGCAAGTTTTAAGCCGCACGTTCACGACCTGTTTGGGGCGCAAACTATCTTGAATTAATCTTGATCACTCGCCATGCATGATCTCTCGCCATCATCATTCATTCCACGATAGCCAAACACTGCGACCTGTCAAACAACAATTGCACCATTTTCATCAACATCAAGCTCGAATCGCATCTTAATCGCATCTGAAAAAACCTGTCGATGTAGATGGCGACTGAGGCCTTATGGTCTAGGCATCCGAGAGGATGCCAGTTAACAGTAACGTGCTCACAACTAATCGTTATAGTGGGAATTACCAGATGATTGTTACCAAACATAAACAGAGTGCAATAATTGACAAATCCCACCAAAACGTTCATCGGAGTGTAGTAGTCGACAAACCACAATCTCATGCATATTTAGGGAGTGCAAGTTAGTATACTTTATAGGGCCACTTCAACTAACCTCCCTTTCCTCGTGAGTAAGCTCCGTCTTCCTATTGATAAAACTCGTTCTTATTGTTCATCTGTGGAATCTTGGTAGTAATCCAGAATGCTTCCAATGCTTTTCTAGCCGAGATCCTTGCATCGTACGCGAGAATTTTGCACTTGATATCAAAGTCTTCTCCAATGGCTGAGCGTGCCCACACCTGCCGACTGCCAAGTCCAAACTTCTGTGCCTTTTAACCGCAAAGTATTCTTTCCTGCGAATACCCAAAACTCTACCGAATATTGGTTTGCAGTCGAGGCATTCGATTTGATGGACGGCTCCCACTTTCGCACAGTCTCCCACTCTATCGTGCGAGCACACTATGTATTTCTCTGTTGTACAGTATCGGCCTTAGAGCCTATTTCGGAACAGCTGCTTTTTGATACTGTGTTAAAGATGTTAACTTGAACAACATCATCTTTTTGATTCTGATGACATAAAATGAAAGCGACGCGGATGTAGCAAGCAAGGAAATGAACAACCATTGAGGAGCTACGAGGCAGAGTACTGGAAAGCGATAACATGACTGCTTTGAAAAAATGAAACTCTGTGAATCAAACGCAGCGATGAAGAATGAATGAAAGCTGCAACACCTGTTCCTTCACGCTGCAACTACTTTTATTATACTATTTTTCTGCTACTATCTACAGCTGGAAGTTTTGAAGGTAAAAAGCAAGAATCTTATATACAAAGCTGAATGTCTGTTTTTATGTCTGTCTCTATGTCTGTCTGTCTGTCTGTACGTACAGTGACCGCCAAAAAGTTGCGGACAAGCCGCCTTATTTTTTTAATCGCTCATTTTCGGATGGAAAACAAAGATGAAAAAATGTTTGGATTGCATGAGCTGATAGAGCTCTTGAAGAGCTACAACCCACACATTGTGCTTTCTGGGAAACGTGCATTTTAAGAATTTTAAAAATCTTATTCTAAGAAGAGTCCGAAAATGGCCGCGTCACAATGTCGCGGACAATAATTCTTTGAACGCCAAAATTTCCTTTTGGGTCCTATTTTTGAGTGGAAACACAAGTAATCCGAACAGGTAAGCATACTGCTTTATAGACCTCGTCGAGGACAATAATCAGGTAGTGGTTATTTCCAAAAAACCCAAACTTGAATTTTATTTTGCTTTTTTTCAAAAAATAACTTCTAATTCCCTTTTTCAGCCAAATCTTTACATGTAAACCTATTCAAGACATCCTAACAAAGCTGTTCGACTAAAATGGATGCCTTTTGCCATCCTGTATGCATCGGACGTGCGTTGGCGAGTTTCCTTGCTGAAAATGGCTCTTGACAGTGCGTGCACATAACCCCACCTGCACCTCGCCACTGAATTGCACCGCTTTGCAGGCTTGTAGCTCGGCCGGCAGTCATTCTACGAGCCTGCAGGTAGGCTCATTCGAAAGAGCGTGACTTTCTCTACACGATATTATGCAAATGACTTCAGTTTCAGGAATAACAGAGATTTGGCGGATGGGGTGATAGAGCGCAGCCTTAGAGGTGATTGGAGTGAAGGCTCTTATCAACGCCAGAACAGTCTTAGAGCTCCGAAATGGATCTATTACAAAAAAATTGAAGGTTTTGAACTACCCTATTTTCAGGTGTATAAGCCGCACCCTTTTTGCTCTAAACGCGAGCAGACCCAGGCGTGTCGCCGCGCATATGTCTCGCGAAGCGGTCGCCTTATTGCATACTGCTCTCACTTAACGCGCTCCATAATGCCAGTCAGTCTTTTGGCGTGTTCGCCTTTAGAGCGAAAAGGGTGCGGCTTATACACCTAAAAATAGGGTACCAGGATGAAACTGGTGGCGAAAGAAGCTCTGCTCAACTTTAACTGAAAAATCCTTACCATACCACAGAAGCTGCGCTCTGTCACCCCATCCGTCAAATTTCTGGGATTGCTTAAACTGAACCTATTTGCATACCTTCGTGTCGAGGAAGTCACGCCTTCTCGAATGAGCCTGAGTACAGGCTCGTAGACTGCCTGACGGCCGAGCTACAAGCCTGCAAAGCGGTGCAATTCAGTGGTGAGGTGCAGGTGGGTTATGTGCACGCACTGTCAAGAGCCATTTTCAGCAAAGAAACTCATCAACACACGTCCGATGCATACAGGATGGCAAAAAGCATCCATTTTAGTCGAACAGCTTTGTTAGGATGTCTTGAATAGGTTTACATGTAAAGAAATTTGGCTGAAAAAGGGAATTAGAAGTTATTTTTTGAAAAAAAGCAAAATAAAATTCAAGGGTTTTTTTTTGGAAATAACCACTACCTGATTGTCCTCGACGAGCTCTATAAAGTAGTATGCTTACCTGTTCGGATTACTTGTGTTTCCACTCAAAAATAGGACCCAAAAGGAAATTTTGGCGTTCAAAGAATTATTGTCCGCGACATTGTGACGCGGCCATTTTCGGACTTTTCTTAGAATAAGATTTTTAAAATTCTTAAAATGCACGTTTTCCAGAAAGCACAATGTGTGGGTTGTAGCTCTTCAAGAGCTCTATCAGCTCATGCAATCCAAACATTTTTTCATCTTTGTTTTCCATCCGAAAATGAGTGATGAAAAAAAGAAGGCGGCTTGTCCGCAACTTTTTGGCGGTCACTGTATATGATTGCTATAACTATGTGGAGGGTCACTCACAAACTCAGACAGTCGAAGAGATATAGGGCTTATCAAATTGAGTGTCGTTTGTACCGGCACCTCCATCTTCGCGCTGGACTATGCGTCTCTTCCGCAGGGCTGCTCTCTGAGCACTTTCCCAGGGCGAGCGTGGGAAAGGCGGAGCATCAATCGATTGGAAGTGATTAGGGTGCGTGTACCGCAGAAAAGACGCAGAGCCCAGCGCGAAGATGGAGATGCTGGTGCAAACGACACTCAATTTGATAAGCCCTATACCTCCGGCGGGCAAATGGCGCGAGTCTGCCACTTCGCGCTTTGGAGCGCTTCGGAGCTCTGCCATCTCACCAATTTTGCTGCTCCGGTCTCTCCCAGAACTGGCGCACCTCCGGAGCAGAGATTGGCGCGTCCCGGAGAGGGGTCCCATTCGTTCACGTGACGTCACGGTGACGTCACGAAGACGTCACAGGCGATTAAGACCCCTTTCCGGGACGCGCAAATCTCTGCTCCGGAGGTGCGCCAGTTTTGGGAGAGCCCTGGAGCAGCAAAATGCGTGAAATGGCAGGGCTCCGGAGCGCTCCAGAGCGCGAAGTGGCAGACTCGCGCCATTTTCCCGCCGGAGGTATCCCTTCGACTGTCTGAGAAGCAACAGATCTGCAGTAACAAAATCAATTACATGAATCACCACCGCGATAAGTCAGGTACAGAAGCCTATCCTATTACTCATAACTCCCCAGAAATAGAACTAATCTATCAAATTTTATCTGAATTGGGTCCCTGGGAATGATCAAGGGTTAAAAGGGGCCCCAGAGTCAAAAGCCAAAAAGGAATCCAGAAGAAAAGGAAGCGATCCCACTTCTCAAAGGTGCTATCCTTGATTTGTCGGCGACGGAGCGCTGGATTTGTACCGACTTTGGCTGAATAGCTGCCATGCGGGACTTGGCCGAAGTAGAGATAAAGTTAGAATACCAGAATATAAAGCTCGAAGTACTCGCGGAGTAGACCGCCTAGACAACACCTTAAACTTGGTTAATCAAAACTTTACCCTATTTTACGGCGTATAAACCGCAATTCTTTTCACGCGGGCTGCATGCGATGTCTCGCGATGTGCGAAGCTGCACAAGCACCAACTACTGTGATTTGTTTGTTACAAAATACTCTATCTTCTCATTTACTTAACAAGAATCCACGAAACAAAAGTACGTCCAATTACCAGTGGTCATCGGAATCGTAAGGTGATAAGCTTTATCGCCGGTAATGTTAATAAAAGAAAGCACAACTTTAGCCAGCAATATCCTTGGAAAGTTGAAGCACAGTCAATCCCTAGTATCGGAAGCAGAACCCAAACATCCGCAAAGTCAGTCATATGATACAAAAAATACAGTCTAAGCACCCGCATTCAAAATGCATTGACAAGAAGCTATTAAGATCACAATGTATCGAAGACATGAGTATACGCGCTGAAGAGGACCCAAAAAACGCACTGAGTTTTCACTTTGCTAGATCGCTTTTCAGGCGCCTTCGCGCTATTGTTCGTTGTGGCGGGTGTGGCTTGTATAAGGTGCGGCTTATAAGCCGAAAATAGGTTATTTCCAAGCAAATATGCAAAATAACGCAACGAAACAATTGATTATCTGGTTGAATTTGAAATTCATTCTAAGCACTGTATAACGACTTGTAACAGATTATGAACAAAAATAACGACATGTGACCGCAGAAGGCGATGAAATCTTTTGGTTCGATACATATAGTGAGAGCAAATCTTGCGCTTTCTGATGGTGCTCGGGCCAAAAGTCCCTGAGGACATATGGCAACGATACAAGGTGAATAAGAGAAATACCCAAAAACAAATGATTTTTCGATTTTTTAATCACTAAAATTGCTAAAACCTCTACTAGAATTTGGATTTATTTTTGGTCTAAGTTTTGTGGCATGCTCTTTTTAACTAAGAGAAGTTAGTAGTGATTGGAGTCTCTGCGAATATTTGCGAATTTCGATTTTTTTGAAATGACTTATTGAT